CCCCTTTAGCACGGACTCTCGTCCTAAACCTCGCCCTGTTGACTTCAGACTGATTTTGGGTTCCATACCTGAGTTCTAGAGCAGCTACCAGTGCTCTATAGCTGTGCCTGTCATCTGCTGACAACTGTCCAAGTATTTCCAGTGGTTGTCCCTTCAGGCTCGTTGCCTTTCTGCTCCTCTGTCCATCCATTCATTTCTGCCTGTAGCTCAAATTGTGCGCTATATGCTTCCCATGGTGCCTTCCCATCGACTTCCTGTGGCTTCCTTCGTACTAGATCACCCCTATTGCTGACACTCATGTCTGTAATGTGACTTCTGACAGGACTGAAGATGTCTGCATTAGGGTTTAGCTGCGGGGTCTGGAAGGGGCTTTCCATTGTCTGAGGCTGATTAGGTCCATGGCTAATATATCCTCCTTGTGTAAAAGACAGTAAATCATCCTTTAATGTATTTAACTCACTTTGAAATTTACTAATCTTTTCCATTTGTACTTCTTGGTTCCTTGCTTGTTCCAGTTGCCACTGGTGCTGGTTTTCTTGCCACTGCTGTAGCCTCTCTTCTTGTTCATTTTCTTTCTCCTCCAACCACTGCTGTAGTCTCTCTTCTTGTTTATTTTCTTTCTCCTCAACCACTGCTGTAACCTCTCTTCTTGTTTCTTTTCTTTCTCCTCCAACCACTGCTGTAGTTTCTTTTCTTGCTTATCTTCTCGTTCTTCTTGTTTTTTTGCTGTTCTTGTATTGCTGCCATCAAATCTGCTAAGCTGTAGTTTGAATTGCCACTTCTCGTTTCCATCGTCTTCTCCCCCCCCCCCGGTCCCACTCTCTGACACCAATTTGTTAGGTATCTGCTTGTTTGATAATTTCCGGTAAAAAATTCTTTCCGAGAAACATCAGCGATACAAGTCCCTTCTTGATTAAAACTAGTTTATTCTTTCTCGATACAACTTTTTGTAATACACAGAATTTCCACAGTCACTTGAAACTTAACAACCTTTACAACATACGCTATAAATCGCAGTGATTCACACACTTTACTTACGGTGCCTACTGTTCGCTTGACTCAGTTATCTATCTCTGCAATCTATCTATATCTCTTTTATCGCAATCCGGTATTCCGGGCTTATATACTAAAAAAGAGGGCGCCTGGCAAACACTCGAAGATTCACGGGGTTCCTCGATAAGTCATGATCCTCCTAGAAACTCCAGCACGCATATTCCCAGCGTCGCGTGACTTCCTCTGTCGTAACACTATGTATCATTTTTGTACTCTGTATTCTGAATTAAAAAATATATATTTAAAATTTTTTAAAGTACAGAAAAATAAATAAAAAAAGTTTGAGAAAGGTTCATTTTTTAAATTTTCGTACCTTTAAATTTTTTAACTTGAGCCAACACCGTCAATTTGCAATACAACACAGTCACAAAACTGAATAAGAAACAGGCCTATCAGTACATGGTAGTTTCACCTTTTTCATGTTCTAAAGAGTTCAGTAGAGTTATGTATATTACAAGCATAGAAGTATTTGGGTATTTCGGACAATATCACTAGGTTTGGAGGTGCTCAAGGAGGACTTAACATTGAGTCAAAAATATAGTGTCAGGTAAAAGATACACATAACAAGGTAGAGTGAAAGATTTTATTTCGTTTATATTCAAATTTATTTTAACACTGAGCGTTTAATCGAATTTTCGATTAGATTTCATTATTATAATAAGCATCGAACTCGAATTTATAGATTACTTAATAGCTCTATTTCCATTCGATTATTACATAATAACTGAGCGCCATTTGTTTGTTCACTCACAGAGGAGCACTCAAAGCCAATGCTC